AATAGAAGGAGAAACAATTCGGCAGCCAGCTTGTCTGCAGCAGTTTAGGGTTTCTGTGCACCACCCGCTGCATGCGGGGGCCCCTGGAGGGGCCCCCGCGCCGGGGGGGGCCCCCGGGGGGCCTCTCGGGGCCCCGGGGGGGCCCCCCGAGAGGGGCCTCGAGGAGGCCAGCAGCAGGGGCAGGGGCAGCAGCAGGGGGCCGGATGCTGCTGCTGCTGCTGCTGCTGAGGCGAAGGGCGCGCCCGACGGCGCTGCGTCGCTGCAGCAGCAGCTGGAGGCGCAGGATGAAGAGCTGCGGGAACTGGTGCAGCAGCTTTCTGCTGCTCTCAGCAACCCCACACTGCAGCAGCTGCTGCAGCAAAGTGATTTGGGCCCCGACGAGTTAGCTGCTGTCGATTCCTTCTTCGACGAACTTAGCAGCAAATGTGCATACTTCCCAGACTTCGGCTCCAGAACAGGTCTGCTGCTGCTGCTGCTGCTGCTGTTGCTGCTGCTGTTGCTGTCGTTGCTTGGTTGTTTCTTTTGTTGGGCTTGCTGCTGCTGCTCTTGCTGCTGCTGCTGCTGCTGCTGCTGCTGTATCGGCGCAGCAGCGCCTCGACCCCAGCGCGTGGTGGCGTTGGAGACCTCTCTGGTATCGCCTTGATTGGAATTATTTGAATAATTCATTTAAAGGAACAAATGCAACAAATGAACAATTAATTTAAATGAATTAAATGATTTAAATGAATTGAGTGAATTAGTTTACACTTTCTTCTTTCTGCAGACGGCGACTGCCAACTCCTCATGATCCCGCAGTGGCTCTATTTGTACGCCGTCAAGGCCAGTCTCACCCACCCAGTCTTCGTCTCTGCTGCTCACAAGAGACTCACGGCCTAGGGGGCCCCTTGGGGGCCCCTAGGGGGCCCCCTGGGGCTCCTGAGGGACCCCCAGGGTTCTGGGGGTCGACTGGCGCGCCTACGGGGCTTCTGGAGAATCCCCGGGGATCCTCTGGGGCCCATTTGGGGCCTCTGGGGGCCCCCCTGGGGCCATTGGGGGCCCCCCTGGGGCCTCTGGGGGGCCCCCAGACGCCCGATGGGGGCCCCCAGAGGCCCCTCTAGAGCTGGTGGGCGTGCTGGGCCCTGTATCCCCCGAAGTGGGGGCCCCCCGAGGTGTGGGGCCCCCCTGGGGCCCCCTTGGTCCCTCCTTGGGCCCCCCTGGGGCCCCCTGGGGCCCTTTTGGGGGCGTTTGCATGCATGCGGGCCTGTATGGCTCGAAATAGAGCTTTGGGGCTTTAAATGAAATGCTGAGGAGCCTCTTAAGGAGAGGCGCTGGGTTTGTGTCTGGGGTGTACAGACACCTGAGGGCCCGGGGGTATGTACACGCGCGGGCCTGCAAAAGTGTGTATCTGTTTATATTTTAAAGAATTAAGTTTGGACTTTTATGAATTATATTTATTTAGCCATATATGGGAGCCCGCACGCTGTAAAGGTGAACTGCAGACAACTGGGGGGCACGCGGCGCGCAGCAGCTGCTGCTGCAGTTGCTGCTGCCGCTGCTGCCACAGCAGCAGCAGCTGCTGCTGCTGCCGACGCAGGCGTGGCAGCACGGCCGTAGACTTTGGCTCAAAGCTGCGCTGGACTCAACGCGGCCAGGCGCCGCGCCTAAGATGTGACAAGCAGCAGCTAGCCGACAGCTAGCCAGCAGCTAGCCAACCAACAGCTAACCAACAGCTAGCTAACAGCTAGCCAGCAGCCAGCCAACGGCTAGCCAGCAGCTAGCCAGCGACTAGCCAACAGCTAGCCAGCAGCCAGCCAGCAGCTGGCCAGTAGCTACCCAGCAGCTAGCCACGCAGGAGTAGCTAATAGCTGGTTTAGGTGGAGGGACGCAGGAGCTAGCTGGCTAGTTAGCTAGCTGGAGAGCTCGTAGCTAGCCAGCCAGCTCGTAGCTAGCTGGCTAGGTAGCTAGCTAGCTCGTGGCCAACTGGCGAGCTCGTAGCTAGCCAGCTAGCTAGCTGGCCAGCTAGCTAGCCAGTGGCACGCCAGCAGCGCCAGCACAAGCTAGCCGCAGGGCAGCCAAGGAGTTAGCTAGCTGGGCAAAGCAGCAGCAGCACGGGGCAGCTAGCTAGCTCAAGTGCAGCAGCTAGCTAGCTCAAGTGCAGCAGCTAGCCAGGCTGCCCCGGCTAGCTATCCGCTATGTGTACCATTTCGAAACTCTGTGTTTCCACTTATATTCTCACTTACATTTTTATTTACACCTTTATATTTACATTTATATTTATATTTATATTTATATTCTTATTTATATTTATGCATGCGATGCTGCAGTGTACAGTGCAGCGGGGTGTCTGCGCAGCTCTGTGGGCTGTTGCTGCAGCGCGAGAAGCGGAGAAACGGATTTAAATAAATCTGCAACTTGAGATAATAAGAAGTGGATTTAATATGAACTTCTGTTGCAAATGGAGGTGAAAAAGGCACTCATTTAAAGGACTTCTGTTGCAAAGACTTCAGACAAAAAAGCGAAAAAGTCTGGCCTTGTGCAGCAGCACCAGCAAAATGCAAAGAGCCAGCAGCAAAATGGTCCCCGTCAGCAGCAGCCGGTTTAACCAGTGGTCACGAATCATCTTCACAATGGCCTGCCGGCCGCGCGCGCCCTCGGCCCCTGTGCCTTCTGCCTGCGAGCCAGCAGCAGCAGCAGCAGCAGCAGCAGCAGTAGCAGCAGCAGCAGCAGCAGTAGCGGCATCAGCAGCCGCGGGCTGCTGCGCTGTACGTACACCTCAGCGCATTCCGCCGCTGCTGCGGTTACGGACACCCCAGCGCTCTCCTCCCTGACCTCGCAGCCGCTGCGGCGGCTGCGGAGGCAGCTAGGGTTTAGGGTTTAGGGTTTAGGGTTTAGCGTTTACGAGGCGGTTGGTCTTGATGATGGCGTCGCGCTGAGTGCGGAGCTGCTGCATGATGTGGAGTCCAATGTCTTCAGTCTGCAGCGCGGAAGAATTACTTTCAAGAATTAATCTGGAGCTGACTTCTGCGAGTTCTTCTGGTTCGAGTTGTTGGCGGGGTGTCTGTACACCTCAGCGCACGCATGCATGCATGCATGCACGCGCGCATGCACAGCTGGCTGCTGCGGTTTTCGCGTCCAGAGGCATCGTTGTGCAGCATTTCGCAAATATATTCTTTTAAATGTACTTTTATTTCAATTTTTGTCCCAAAAAAACTTTAAAATTCAAAAAAGGACAAACTTTACGACAATTCCCAACTGCTCACCTCGCCTGCTACTGCCCGGCTCGTCCACTCTTCGCTCTGCTGCCGCAGGCGGGCCAGTGCATCTCCGTACGCAGCCAGCTGAGGCGCAGCGACAAAATAACTAACTAATTAATTAATTTAATTAATTAAATTAATTAATTAAATTAAATTAATTAAATTAATCGAATTAATTAATTAATTGGATGCTAAGCAAAGGCAAGAAATCGCGAAAGACGCACCTCCGCAGCCAACGCCTGGCCTGAGGGAGAGCCCCTGGCTTCAATGCTGAGCTGCTGCAGCTGCAGCAGCAGCAACAGCAGCAGCAGCAGCAGCAGCAGAGAACACAATGAAGAAAGAGGAAGGTTAAGAAGCAGCCAGTGAAGATTTGGCAGCCAACAGCCACAGACGCACCCCAGGGATTAGGGTTTCGAGCCCAAGGTTCAGGCTTTAGGCACTAGGGTTTAGGGTTTAGGGTTTAGGGTTTGAGCTATTATCGAGAGTTTAGGGTGCAGCAAATGGCCCACAGTGACGTCAGCGTCTGAGAGAGCCGTGGCGAGGGCGGCGGCGACGTGGGGGCCTGCGGGCAACAGCAGCAAAGCAGCAGCTGCAGCACACTGGGAGCAGCAGCAGCAGCAGCGCAGCAGCTCCAGCACTGTGAAAGATCCTGCAGCAGCAGCAGCAGCAGCACTTACTGCGCGGCGTCAGCTCAGCCCGCTTCAGTGCACTCTGTGCATTTTGCATGCGCAGTTTTAGCTGCTGCTCCAAAGCCCTGTAGTTGGTAGTCTTGTATGCCGCTGTAGCAGCAGCCGGGGCGTGTGCGACCCCGTGGGGGCCCCCCTGGGGCCCCCCCTGGGGGCCCCCGTGGGGGCCCCCGTAGGGGCCCCCCTGGGCGCCCCCATAGGGGCCCCTGAAGGGACTGCTTGCTGCTTGGGGCTGCAGAAAAGGGCCTGTTTGCGACTGAGACAAATCCCTGCTGCTCCAGCCACCGAATTCAGATGCAGTGTCCAGAGAGAAGCCCTCTTCGATCCCGCCGCCGTACATGTTTTGAAGGTGGAAAGAAGTTGTAATAATGATATATATAAAATAAATATATGAAATAAAAGTAAATAAATAAAATGCAGAGTGAAAAGAAGAACTTGCTGTGCAGAAGGCGCGGCGGGGGAGGCCCGTTCAAGTCAATGGTCAGCTGGCGCTGTAGCAAAACGAAATGCGGAATACGAAGCCTCTGCTGCTGCTGCCGCCGTCTTCTCCGCAAAATTAATTCAAAAATGCATTTAGTTATTAAATGCAGTCTTTATTTTGCAAAAAGAACCGCCAGAACAACGCGGAAGCCAAGATCGTGTTCAGCAGTTCCAGCGGCGCTCAGAGGCTGCACGCGCGCAGCCCGCCGTGCGTCAGGCGCTGCCCTTTTCGGTAATAAAAGAAAATAAAAGTCAAAAAACTACAAAAAAAAACTAAATAAATAATAATAATACTCGTGACAGCAGCAGCAGCTCATCCGCTGTCCGGCTGCCCAGCCCCAGCGGAGGCCATTGGTGTCGACTGCGCCCGCGGGGTGTACGTACACCTCGGAGAAGCCGCGGAAGCTGCCACACGAATTCAAATGCAAAAACTTCATTTCATTTTTCTAAAAGTTCAAATTAACTGCAACAAACTGGACTAAACACTGGGCAGCCAGCTGCAGCAAAGCCACACACACGGCCAGCAGCAGTTCTACGGGATGTGCTCCAACATGTGCATATCAAGTATTGAATTTATAAACACAAATAAATAATTTGCAACTTCCGTATTTTCAGCCTCAAGCTGCAGCTCGCCAAACTGTCTTGAGAGCAGCTGCAGCTTCGTCTTGCTGCACTTAAGGTGGCATTCAAGAAGCTGCTGCAGTAGGTGCAGCAGCAGCTGCTGCTGCTGTGGGGGTCCACGCTGCGGCTGCAGCGTCTGCAGCAGCTGCTGCGGGCCCGAACTCGCGCTAAAAGGGCCCCACACGGGAGACGGAGTTGCAGCTAAAGGGCAGCAGCAAAATGCATTAGTCAAAATAATGCAATTAATTTGTTTTGGAAAACAAAAGAGCTCTTAGGGCTTTTCTTTTCCCAGCAAATGGCCACCAGGAAATCCCACAAAGTCTTTCCCTTCACTTGAAGGGCCACTAAAGCAGTGTCCAGAGGCTCGAAGAAATGCACATTCAATTCAATTCCTTTCGTACAAGGGAGTGGATAATTTGCAAAATATTTGTTTCATTTATTTGTCTTTTGTGCAAACTTGAGTGCAGCTTTTTCCACCAGCAGAAGACAGCTGGCTGCGGTGTATGGACAGCGTGGAGCGAAAGCCCGCAACTTCTTTGTATCATTTCTTCCAAAAAAGAAAGCAGCAAAAGGCAGGGCTAGGAGTGCTTGATCTGCAGCGCAGCAGCAGCAGCAGCAGCAGGTTGTGTTCTGAGTCACTGTTTCAAATAAAACGAAAATGATAATCAAATGGCTTTCTTCCGCTCACCGGCTTCAGCGGAGGTGCACGTACACCTGAAGCGTCGATCGACTTCTCCACGTCTTCGTCAACCTGGCCGACAACGGCTCTGCAAGCCGCAAAAATAAAATCATAAACAAAAATAAAATAAAAAATAAAAATATGAATAATAAATAATAAAATAAAGTCTTTCTAATA